CGGTATGCGGAGTGCTTTGGTGGGTAAAACTCAGAGAGCTTGGTAAGCCCAGAGAAAGGTCTTGGACTAGTGTGGACATTCAGGGACATTTCCTGGAGAGATGACATCTGAGCCAAATCTTGAAGGCTCTCAAGGACAGCAAGAAGAGTAGTCATTGGCCATGACGCTGAACTCTGCTATAGAAGTAGAGTTGATTCTTTTCATTTTTTCTAAGAATGCAAATCTATAGCAGAGGAATGATTTTTGTTGTTGTTTCTTCTTTTATGATATTTTCCATCTTGTATCTCTCTCATGCCATACTGCCAGAATATCTAAAAACAATGCTAAGAAATTAAGGTGATGGCAAATATACTTATTTTATTCCTATTTGAAGGCAACTCTTTAATATATCTCCATTAAGGATAGTATGCTCATTAAATTCTCGTTTGCAGTTCAGACCAACCATGTGAGGTCGGTACTATTACCCCCATTATACAGCTGAGGACAGTGACTATCTATGAGATCAGAGGAGTTCTCCTAAGTCCACAAATGGCGAGGAGTTTTGGAACCAGACCTCGAACCTGGATCTTTTGACCTGAAATCTCCTTTCCCTCTGCTATCATGCTTCCTCGGTAGTGGGGTGTATGCTTTTGCCAAGGCAGGCTGCACTTGTTAAGGACACTTGTTGGCAGTCTTCTCACAGGGAAGTGTTTATCCATGGAACAAGTGGTGGCTTCAACACTGCCAAACAATGCTCCTGCCCAGGCCGTTGTGTTGGAGGCTCTTTGTGAGGGAGGGATTAAATTTAAGATGCTTAGACTTCAGGCTAAACCCTGAGCTATGCTATTCCCTCTGCCTTTTGGTGTCTTTCCCATTCTTCACATTTATAACCAAAGCCTCATTCTGGCCACCCTGGCTTAGACTTTGCTGTTCTGGATTTTGCTCTGCGGCAAACACAGACAAAGGGGAAAAAGCAGGGCTGTGGAGTCAGTAGACCTGGTTTCAGCACCAGCTCTAATGCTTGCTGGCCATGTGATTTAGGCAATTCACTCAATGGAGCAGTCTCAGTTTTCCCTTCAGTAAAGAGGGGATAATAGTGTGTATCTCAGTGGGTTTTGTGGGGGAATAAATGAGGTAGCCATGTACCCATATAGTGCCTAACACACAATAGGTTACTTTCCTATTGCCTTTATTCTGCATTCATTAATATGATTAGCCTAGAAAATTCATTCATTCATTGACTATATATGTCGAATGCTTAACCTGCGCCAGACACTGCACCAGACACTGCAGTAGACACTGGGTGTGTGTAAATAAAATAGATGTGGCCCCCGACTTTGTGGAATTTATAGCACAGTGGAGGAAGACAGCCAGTAATCGAGTAAAAATAATACATTGCTAAGTGCAATGAAGGAATAGAAAAGGGTGCTGTGGGGGCATGATGGGGCAGACCTACTGGATGTGGCTGGGTGGGGAAGGCCCTTCTGAGGAAATAACAAGCTGTTATCCGAGAGATGAGAAAGAACATAAGAATAACACGATCCAGGTCGTGTTATTAAAAAGATTGTTGAGGCTGCATGCAGAGAATGGAAGGGAAGTAGGGAGGCAAGAGAGGACATAAAGAGGCCATGTAGGAGGCTATTGCAGAAATCTAACAGGAAGTGATGGCAGCTGAGATAGGCAGCGGTGGTGGAAATGGATAGGCGTATTTGAGGAATAATTAGGGGGGACATGGTAGTGCATGAGATGTGAGAGGAGAGGGGGTACCTAGGCGTATTCTCCAGTGTCTGACTTGGGCAGCTGAGTGGACGACAGTGCTATTCATTATGATGGGTGGTAACAGAGAGTTCAGTTTGGCCGACCCTGGGCTCCTGAGAGTGTAATCAGGCTCATGGGCTTCCTGGGAGTAGAGTTTTGGAGGCTTTCTTCCCAGGAAGGCATTCCAAGAGTTAGGAGGGAGACGGCTGGTAAGAGGCCCTTGAGGACCAGCCCCATCCCTGTGGTCCAGGTGTACAGACCTGCCTAAGACTGAGGCTGGACCGGGGGACCAAGAACCCCCTCCCCCTCCGGCCACATAACAAAGCACCAAGTAACGAGCGGTGGCAGAACACTGCCGGGCAAGAGGCCCGGGCACGGAGAGAGGGCTCCTCTGCCGCACACACACAGAGGGGCTGCTGAACACCGAGGGTGGAACAGAAACACTGAGAAGAACATTCTGGTATCTCAGGTCCCACATGAGCATGAGTTAGTAGCCCACTGCTGGAGGAATCCGAAGTCTGTGATGCACTGAAGATAACTGTAGAAACAACGAAACCCAGCCCCAACTCAACTACTGACTAGATTGACCCAATCTCCCGCAGGGAAGAGGCAGGGTGCCTGTCTTCAGGTGTAAATATTACTTACCTGTTTTTTCTACACACGGTGTTCAACATTAAATTAAAAAATTGTGAGACACACCCCCCCACCCCCACAGCCGCACTAAACAGGAATAAACAAACCATAGTAAAGAGATAAAGCAACAAAACCAAACCCAGAAATGACCCATGTGTTAGAACTATCAGATAGGGACTTTAAAATAACTATGATTAATTATGATAAAAGATAATGTGGGAAAGGTATACAACATGCATGAACAGATGGAAATTTCAGCAGAGAGACGGAAACTATAAAAAAGCCAATTGAAATGCTAGAAATAACATATATTTTTAACTTTAGAGAGACCTTTTATGAACTATGTGAAAAAAAATTTTTTCCCGAAGTTGAGTGATTACTTTGGTTACACTTTAGTTTCTTCTGTTAAATTTAACTAAATTAAATGTGATGGTTTAAATTTAAAACCAGCATATATAACATGATCTCATTTCTTTGTACAATGATTTTTATCTTCCTCTGCTTGATACATGTGTACACAAAGATATCTGGGTTGTTCAATAAATGTTAATTTTAACTATGGTTATTTCTGTGTGGTGGAATCGTTGAGGTGATTTTTTAATTTTCTTTTTTGTGCTGTATTGTTTTTGCTTAAAATAATCATGGCATTTCAAAGTTAAAAACTATGCCCCAAAGCAAATAAAGGGTAATTTTTTAAAGTTTCAGTGTTGTGCCTCCAAGTAGAGAGGTTGGATGTATGAGTCTGGGATTCATAGAGGAAGTCTAGACGAGAGCCATTAATTTGGCAGCATATTGAGGATATTTGAAGTTCATAGGAATGGATGAGATCAGCTCAAGAGAGACTTAAGAAAGAAGAGAAAAGTACCTAGGAAGGTGCTCGGTGTGTCTCCAGCCCCTGGAGTTTGCATGGAGGAGGCTCCTGCAGCAGGTGGAAGTGAAAGAGGAGGAGAGGCCGGGCATGGTGGCTCAGGCCTGTAATCCTGGCACTCTGGGAGGCTGAGGCGGGCGGATTGCTCAAGGTCAGGAGTTCGAAACTAGCCTGAGCAGGAGCGAGACCCCATCTCTACTATAAATATAAAGAAATTAATTGGCCAACTAATATATATATAAAATTAGCTGGGTATGGTGGCGCATGCCTGTAGTCCCAGCTACTTGGGAGGCTGAGGCAGGAGGATCGCTTGAGCCCAGGAGTTTGAGGTTGCTGTGAGCTAGGCTGACACCACGGCACTCACTCTACCCTGGGCAACAAAGTAAGACTCTGTCCCCCCTAAAAAAAAGAAAGAGAAGGAAACCTGGAGAACCTGGTGCTGGGTCAGGGAAGATCTGGCAATTTCAATGAGATGCTGGGCTACAGTTATCTACTTGGGGTTTGGCTAACAACTGGGTCTTTTAGAGAGTTGCTGACTTTCAGCAAATGTGGACAGCATGTTTGGAGAACACTTGTATTGTTTTTTTTTAAAAAGATGGAGTCTTGTTCTGTTGTCCAGGCTGGAGTGCAGTGGCATGATCATAGCTCACTGCAGCCTTAAACTCCTGGGCTCCAGTGATCCTCCTGCCTCAGCTTCCCAAGTGGCTGGGACTACAGGTGCATGCCACCACACCCAGCTAATTTTTATTATTTTTTTAGAGATAGGATCTTGCTATATTGCTACTTGTATGGTTTTTATTTAAAAAAATTTTTTTTTATTTTAGCGTATTATGGGGGTACAAGTATTAAGGTTACCTATATTGCCCACGCCCCCTGTTCCCCCTCGAGACAGAGCCTCAAGTGTGACCATCCCTCACACGTTGCACATCTCACTCATTGTGTTTGTATATACCCATCCCCTCAGTGGACATACAGGAATAACACTTGTATGGTTTTTAAATGGGCCATGAGCAGGTTTCTCTTTGAGAAGTGCTTTATTTGATTTTTGAGTTTAAAGAGAGTAGCAGATACGTGTTTATACTTCATTATAACCAACTCAACTTGCAAGTCTTTCTCCTGATTAGTTGGCAGTCTATCTTGCAGGGCTAAATATTTAAACCTTTAAGATCCCATTATCCATTGATGAGAGGCCAAGTTTAGGGAGAGAGAGAGAGAGATTACATTGTTTTTCTCAGCTATCCCCTTGAGAATAGATGACTGCTGCTCAGCCCAAACTCACCAGGCTACAAGCTGCAGAGCCCCTTGGCCCTTGTAGCCTGGCGAGTTGCCTTCTCTGGTTAATCCCAGGGCCAGTCCTAATCATGGCACATCTTGGAGCTCATCACGCTGGTGACCTTGGCCGTTGGCAGATGATGGAGACTCCCGCCCTCTGCTGGGAGCTGCTTCTGTGTCACCCAGCCTCCCTGTCAGTACCCTTCATGCAGCAGGGCTGCTCCACCTCTAGTGCTCCTCATCGTGCCCCCTTCCTCAGCTCTCCGTACCAGCAGGGCCACGTGTGCCCCTGGGTTGCTTGGTTGCTTCCTGTCTAGTAGAAGTCAGTCTCAGCTTTTCTAACGCTTGCTCTCGTGCGCCTGTGCCCCCGCACTGATACTGGCATCGGAAGGTGGATTGTCAAGCCGTGCTGTGCATTTTAGAGATAGGGTTTGGAGGAAGTAGGCTTGGATGTGCATCTGATTAGTTTTCCGATTTTCTCCCCTTCTAGGTAATACTTACTAATATTCAAAACAGAAGCCCTAAACCTGGCCCTGCTCCCCACGATCAAGAACTAGGTTTTTTCCTAGAAACAGGACTTCAGAGAGCCCATGTCCTCTATTTCAAAAATGGGTAAGCCTTCTTCATTTTTTAATCCACTTCCTAAAGAAGGAAAATAGCCTTATAATGCTGTCTCCAGTTTAGTTATTATAATAAAGCAATTTTAAATATGAACTACAATTGGAGTATTTAAAAAAAAAAAAAGAATGAACATTGGCTCTTTCTGTCTTTTCTCCACTTGGCCCTCTTGCTTTCCTAGGAGACATGAAGGTGGGGGGAGGGAGGGAGGGAGTGTGAGTCACAGGTGTGGAGCGCGGGTGGGGTGGATCTGAGGGGTGCCGTGCGTTATAGCGCCCTTCCTCCACGGGAGTGGCACCGCGCAGGCCTCCCCACTTTGTTGAGGGAAAGGTAATGAATCGGAAAGCCTGGCATCTCCCTTTTGGTGGCTGATCAGTTCAGAGAATTGGAATTGCCAAGGCTCAGCCAGTTTTTATGAAAGTGAGTGTGGCCGTGATGCCTCGCAAGAACATTTCCAACTTGAGTTGCCTTTGAGGAGGGTCTAAAAAGGTTTAAGAACATGAATGGAAGGGAGAGCTTTCTAGTGCATTTGATGTTTGTTTTCATTTTTGTGTTGCTCTTGTGAGAAACGTGCTGATTTATTCCAAATCTCTTCAGTTGTCCCTTGTTTTGACATTGTGCTGCAGGACAGATGTGCATGAAGACGAACAGTAGGTATCTGGCTCATCCGTAGCTCCTCCTAGGCTTTTCAAGAGAGGCCCCTAGAGGCCTGCCCCCCTTCCTGTAGGAGTAGTCCAATAGTGCTTGGAATGGCAGAGGGGATACAAGTCCCAGCCTTTGGAAAAATAAGCAATGGAGTTGCTCCCTCTTCATTTTTAAGAGCTTCAAACCTTGGGGCTTAGTCCACGAAAGTAGGATTTCATCTGCTTGGTGGCCGAGAGCCACATGCATTCATTTCCCGTTAGTTGAGAATAAATGCTTATTTTCCAAGTCCTGTTAAATTGTTTGTGAGAGAAGGCTGCTCTGCTCCAAAGGCCACTGGCTCAGCTCAGCATGGCCCACAAAAGGCCACAAAACAAACACCCCAAGGTTTGGAGTAGCTTGGTGGCTTTGGCATGAAGATGCTCTTGAATTTGATCTCATCTGCCACTGATTGAGATCATCTGAGCACTGGTGCCCATCCCCTAAGCTGAGATTAAGTTCTGTTTTCTTTGCTGTTATAAATAGAGGGAGAATGGAGGGAACTTAGAATATTTTTCTAGCAATCTGTTTCTTTTCCCTTTTCATGATAAATGGTGGTTATCACAGAGGAACCTCAACCTTTGTTCTTCCTCTCATTTACTTGTGGGCGTATGTGTTAGTGTGGACATGCAGACATAGGAATTAATGCCCCTGGGGCTCCAGGGGGTACCACACCAGTACCTTCAATTGAAAATGCTTCGTGTGGGGTTGATAAGGGTGGGATGGGTAGTTTATTTTCATCTTTGATGCCTGATCCTTGGGGAGGAGGAATGAAGACTCTTGGGCTCTGACCTCATCCCCTGAAATGTTGGCTGCCCACTGGAATCCAACTAAAAAATTATAATGAGAGGGTTGCACTAGATGATGGATTATATGCCGTGGATTGCTTACTGACTCATTTCTCATTTTATTTTACTTTAACACAAGTTCAAGGAAATGCCTATCGACGCAGCCTTCAGGGAATGCTTAACTTTGAATGCTTTTCTTTTCTTGTCCTCTGGCTCTTCTTTCTGGGCTCTGCAGACCAGAGATGGGATTGGGCCAGGTGCTCTCAAAGCTCCCTGCTAGCTGCAACATTCTAAAGGCTGGGATTGCGCACCAGTAGGGACAGATTACTTTTAGGTAGGTAGAGGTGAGGGCTGGTTTTGAGACCACAAAATATAGACAAAAGGAGAGAAACCAGTGGGGGGTTTGGGATATGCCAAGTAGAGTCAGGGCTGCCTGACTCACCCATGTTGGTTACTCAGGGCCTGAGAGCCACACTTGAGGGTCACTGACACCTACAGCCAGTGTCCCTGTGGGGCAAGTGGGGACGGAACAGAGGCAGCTGCTGTTCCTAAGCCCCAGTGGCTTCCCACGGTTCCATCTTCTGATATATTTGCTCCCTATTATCTCACTCCTGGTTTTTTTTTTTTTTTTTTTTGTCTGTACTTTTCTTATATATATGGAAGGACATAATGGACAGAGTTGACTGAATTTCAGTGGTAGGAAAATACAGTGTAGGTTAGTTTGGCAATAAGAGATGGAAATTGATAAAACACATCTCTTTTCTTTAGAAATAAATATATGCTCAGCTTTTTGGTTGTCATCCCTGAGGACTTACTGAGTTATAGTAATGAACCTTAATTCTTTTTGTCTGTTTTTGTTTTTTGAGGCAGGGTCTCACTCTGTCACCTGGGCTAGAGTACAGTAGCATCATCGTAGCTCACTGCAACCTTGAACTCCTGGGCTCAAGCGATCCTCCTGCCTCAGCTTCCCAAGTTGCTGTGCCTCCAGGTGTGCGCCACCAAGCCCAGCTAATTTTTCTATTATTTATAGAGACAGGGTCTTGCTATGTTGCCCAGGCTGGTTTTAAACTCCTGGCCTTGAGCGATCCTCCCACCTCTGCCTCCCAGAGTGCTGGGATTACAGGTGTGAGCCATTGCGTCTGGCCTGAATCTTATTCTTTGATAACTCTCCCATCTTTTCTAGGAGTGACTGCAAAACTGGTGAACTTGGGCATCTCGATCAGAAAATCAGATGCCAGGACCAGTTCCTGGGCCCCTTCTGATGCCTTAGAACCCAGCGACGCTTTCATGTTTACTAGGTGCTTGTATTTCATCTTCACTGACCCTCGCAGCCTTGTCTCACAGCATTCTCTTTCACTGCCGCTGCTGCCCTGCGAAGTCAGCGGTCTAGGTAGTGTTGCCCCTATTTCACAGAAGAGTCTAGACTCGGAGGCCGTGTGACTTGCAGGTCACACATTGCCTTGGGTGCCAAGTTTCTGACCTCAGTCTTCTTACCACTGTGCCACTGCAGGGGAATTGCTGTCCTTCTGTATAGAGGGGCTTGATGGGACCCTCGGATGGTGGCCTCGTCCACCACCCTGCCCCTGGGGCGGAGCACTTGACCCCCAGGGTGAGACGTGGCCGGTGGTGGTTCCCAGCCTCTGCTGGTTTGGTGATTTCTTCTCAGGCTTTTTCTCGTGTCTCACCTGCAGTATGTCACAAAGCATCCCCTTCTTCTCTCCCTCCTCCCCAGCCTCCCCGTCCCATGCCCCCCTTCTTCCCCCATCTTTCCCCGCTCTCTTTCCTCCCCCTTCTGTCTTTTCCTCCCTCCCTCTTTTGTTGCCCTCTTTCTCCTCCTCCTCTTCCCTCTGTGGAGGGAGAGAATAGCTAGTTGCCATTCAGGCCTATAACATCCTCCGCCTCTCCGTCCCAGGAGTCCCTGGGCACAGTCCGACTTGGAATGCACCCATATCTACCTCACATCAATTTCTCTTCTCCCTCTGGGTGGCAGCAGCAAGCCTGTTAAGGATGAAAAAAACATGGTGTTGTGGGATGGCTGCCTGGGAGAAGCCAGGGGTCTGGGAGTTGCCGCACCAGGGGAAGCGCTTGCGTGGGGGGCAGGGTGGGGGGCCCTGGAGCCAGTGTTGTATTTGGAGCCCACCTTTATACCTCTGGGTCTCAGGTTATCTGTAAAATAGGGTGACTGTCACCTGCCTCATGGAGCAGTGGCTCGGAGTGCATAGGAGGAGGCACGTGGAAGGAAGCACTTGGTGAAGTGTCAGGTGAACGGCAGGTGGCGAATTGTAACGCCCAGTCACAGCGATGCCTGGCTGCTTTGCCCACCAAAAGGGGGAGCAGCGTGAGGTCAGACTCCGGCTGGAGTGGGAGTCTGTGGAGAAGCAGGTGTCCTTCCCCGGATCGGATCTTGGAACCTCACACTGCGGGGCCTGGATGCAGGGCGTTTATTTAACCGAACAGCTGTTCAAGACACACGACAGTCGGCTTGGGTGGCATTCTGATCGCTGATGGCCCTGTCTGATCGCTGATGGCTCTTTAGAGAAAGTAGGTGGGGCCGACGGGCCTGACCGCAGCAGCGTTGGGGCATTGATCCGGCAGCACGGCCAGTGGCGGGAGACGCCTGGCCATCCAGGAAGACAAGTGTTACTCCTCACTTGAGTCACTGCAGCCAGAATTTGCCAGAGAAGCTTGATTTGGGGATGCCAATTATTTACTGCCCGTTGTTTTAGCAATATTTACCCATCTTTTGTAAACAAAGAGTAGCAAAGGACATTTCAGGTAGCCTTACTTCTCGTCAGCTATGCCAGGTGTCCTGGGTGAGCAAAATGGATTGTAGTGTGTGTTTTCCTTTGCTTTGAATTGATTTTAATTCAGGTAGGGGTAGGAATCAATCGAAGCAAGAAGGCAAATGACCATCACCACCTGGGAGATGTGGCCGTTGGGTTGTACCGTTTCCTAGGCTGCAGCCAAGCCAGAGGTAAAGCGGCATGGAGGGGGTTTTGGGGTTCTGTTTGTATAATCAAACAAATAGACCACTAATCACCACTATATGTTGACTTAAACATTTTAATCTTCCTAAATAATCCTGTTAAACTTTGAGACTGTTCAGCCCTATTCAATGTAGCCTAGACCTAGATGGCACAAAAAGGGGTCCATGAGGCCCTGCTGTGTCCTGTGGGCTGCTGAGGAGGGTGCTTCCTGGGTTTGTGCCTCAGAGGCAGCAGCAGCAGCAGATAGGCAGCCACAGCCCACGATCCTGGGGAGGGTGCCAGCCAGGAAGCCACGGGTGCCTTGTCCGATTCACTGGTTGCCCCAGCCCCAGACACAGGATCAGCATGACCTTTGTATTCTAGCATTCAGGCCATCTTCCCTCTTGCAGAGATGAGAAGTGTTTGCTTTTTAAACTGGACTCTATTTTTGACATTATGAGGCCAATGCAGTGAATATGAGAGAATTGAGACATGTTTCCGATAAGCATTTAATAAGTGCCCATTTTTTTATACATGATACTCTTGAAGAGATACAGAG